CTGTTTATTAGGATTATTCTTTTATTAGGCACCTCAGAGTAATTTAATTTACCGTGAGTTATGCCGCAATTTGGTTAAATTTATGATCTTTCGTTCGCTACATTCAACTCCAATGCTGCGCTTAACAGCTAGTATGTAACAACACATTGTTGAAGAAGGACACGTGCAGTTTTCCTTTGGATACAGCTTCACAACATGCGCATTTCCATCAGGGGCAGAGACTGTAAAAACTTTAAGGCTTGGAACATGTACAACATTAAATGTGTTAGAAAGCACACATATTGACGGAGGTATGAACTGCTGTATTGGTATGTTGGCAGCTGCTTGCAGCTCCGCAATAACAAGCTCTGGACTCTCTACTTTTGGTATGTCATCTGCATTTTCTAAAACATTATTTAAACTTTCAATTTAAAACATCATTACTAACTCATGAGTATATTGCATTTTTGTAAATATTTACTAAATAATTCTAAAATCAAACAAAAAAACAATTACAAATAAGATTTAAAAAGTTGTTATGTATTAAATGTGACATACTGATTAGGAGACTGCTGTCAACGAGAGTGTAGGGTCCAAAACCACTACAACTCCGCTTAATTTCTGTCAAATAGAAGGTCTGAAGGCGATGCATTGCAACAACCATCGAATCAACAGGCGCTTCTTTCCAATCCTGAAACTTTTTAATGACAGCATTAGTGATTCTGATACATTATTTGTAATTATATTATCTGTTAAACCAACGAACCTGAGGTGACCAATATAAGATATTAAAATACGTGAGTGTAAGTGATCTGAAAAATAAATTGAGAATGCTTCGCTCCATGAAGGTCTCAATGTATCAATTTTTACTTTTAAACAAATTTCACTTTCACATATGAGAAGTTCCTGCATTTGAGATTTATAAACAATTATTTCTGCATGACAAGCACTGTGTTTTTTTAACCAAACCTCAATATCAGACAAAACGTGATTGGAGCAAGTTACCAGATTCCATTTTGGTAACACTTTTTTTATTGCTTTGCCAATTTCACTCTCTCCGTCAGTCACAATCACAACCTGATTAAGAACTGGTAATTTTTTTTTAAAAAATTTAAAGAAACTTTTATGCACACTATCAAACTTCCTGTCATGTAAAACAAATGCTACAGGCATGCAAGGCTTCTCAACAAAACAACTTAATTTAGCCACTAGAATTGATAAATAAAAATCACCTAAATTAAATGTTGTATCATATGAAAAAAAAATTTGAGAGCACATGACAAGTTGACTGATTAAATTTTGCATGCCAAACGAAACCAACAAGTCAGGATAAGTGGATATGGACCACACAAAGCCTGGAATCATATATGCCAGTTCATGTAATGTTAATAAAGGCTCAGTGCCTAGTTTCATACTAGCGGCTTTTACACTACGAACGTACTTAAACTGCCTTAAATTTCTTGGTTGAAATTGGACCTAACTATCCTTGCAATCAAGAAGAAGGTCCTTGTAACTGTGGGAATCAGCAATTGCATCTAGCACAGATGAAGCTGTTGGTAAGAACTTGATTGGTTTCTTAATTATCCGGAAAAAATCCGGAATTTACAAAAAGATGTTAACAAGGAGAGAGGCGTGCTCTTCCACTCTTCTTCTCTATAATATTACGCCAGTTCAATAGTATCCTTATTCACTGTATCTATGAATAAAAAACTACATAAAATTTTCATCAAAAAAGAAATAATAATAATAAAATTTTAACAATAATAATAAGAAAAAGCCAAAGAAAAAGTAGAAGACCATATTTAAAAGCTGTTAAACAATGTGGAAACTTTTTTAGACATGCACTTATACATTTAAATACATAATGAATAATGAATTATTGCTTCAATTGACCAAAGATATACAAATAGATAAACATTTAACGCATTATTACAGATCAAAGGCTGGCGCCTTTGATCTGTAATAATGCGTTAAATGTTTATCTATTTGTTGCGTTAAATGTTTATCTAAATGCGTTAAATGTTTATCTAAATGTTTATCTATTTATCTAAATGTTTATCTATTTGAAATCCCATGGGCATTATTTATTTTAGCGTTTTGGTTTTTATGTAGTAATTTTACAAAATAAATCGACATTTATACGACACTTTTGCTTGCCAACTTCTTGGCACTAAATGTGCATAGCATGAGGGCAAAAACTGCACTCACGTTAAGCTACAAAGAAACATGAGAGTATTTGTCAAATCATATTTATTTTAAGATAAATGATTAAGCAAGCCAAAGTTGTATTAGTAGAATGATTAAGATTGATATAGTAATAAATTTAGATTGATAATATAGTTAGAACGATAACATATTAATAAATAATATTTATGTTGAACATATATTCAATAATATTTAAAATAATTTAAATAATAATATTGACAATATATTAAATAAGATTGATAATAAAGTTAAGTACTACCTTAATGTAACTTTATTATCAACAATAAACACAAATTTTTTCTATCTAGGTAGTAATTACTCTGTGTTTATTGTTAAATTATTAATGCTATTGAACTTTTTGTAGGCTAATTATATTAATTAACAATACCTTTGAAGTCCTCACTGATGTAAGTTCTATGTTATTTAGGTATAATAATTAAAGAAACAGTACTGCATTTTTAAATGAACTAAATTTTCCTTATGATTATATGTTGAAAAAGCTTCACATTTTGAAAAACTTCCATTGTGCTGCATTTGTCTATTGCTTGTTGGCTTACGTGTCTTAAAATTCAAATATAATGTTCTTGTTAGAGTAAACCAGTTGACTCTTATTTAAGCCTCTTTATATTTTTTTTTTTTCAAAAACCATATACAAAATAGTGAGCAGGTATGTTCACGTTAAAGTATTTATAGATAAGAGAAAGAGAGGCAACATTACGCGGATGTAACAATGGTTAGAGGTTGGCTGCAAGAGCAGATCCAACTATGTTTAAACTGTGTTTTTGCATTTTGTCTAAAAGAGAAAGAGCATCATTGAACAGGGTGTGCACTCAAAAATTTTTAAAAATCCAGCATTTATTCCATCATATAGACATGTTTTTCCAGGATTTTGGCCTTGATAACCATATCTTTGATATTCCATATCATAGCATTAAAAAAAATAACTTAATAAGTTTTATACTAATAAAAATTTTTAATACTAATAAAAAATTTTAATACTAATAAAAAATCTTAATACCAATAAAAAGGAAAAAAAACTAAACAAAATTTACTATTGGTCTTGAGTCTTATAAAGTAATTTTAAATTAAATTTTTAATTCTTTTTAATGGTATATACCTACATTATCAAAAATGAGCTTTTAATTCACTCGCTATTAACACATAGCTACACTGTATCTTCTACTACTAATAATTTATAATAATATTTTTAATAATACAGCAGTTACTATATTATTATAATATATAACTATTTTTAAACAAGTACAATGAAAGCACATTGGCGCTCACATTTTAAAATCATAACACAGATACTTTTAAATACCATATATAAAAAAGGTCATGTAAAAATCTGCAGATTATTTTTTATATCATGTCTTATATTGCATTATCTTTTATATATTATGTCAATATTGGCATAAAGCATAAAAAAGCATAAAGCATGTAACTTACATAAGCATGTAAGTTTGCTATAGAGCCATTTAAAAATAATAAATAAATCATCAAACAAATTATAATAGGAAAGATAACTTTTAGCTTCAAAATAATATTGCATATTAAATGAGATCTTGAAAATATTTAATATAATATTAAATGACATTTAGATTCCCTTTTATATTTATTAATAAAATACCTTGGTATACTGTAGCATAGGCTTTAGTAAAGGATTAACTATGCCTAATTAAAGTTAGATTTTACTTTAAACATATTAAAAGAAATATACAGTCTGGTAGACTACATGTAGGCTACAGTCTACATGTAGATTGTAATCTACGATGTAGATGTAACCTGCAGTGTAGACTTTAGTCTACAGTATATACACTGTAGATTACAAGATTACAAGTATAACTTCTTTTAATGTGTTTAAAGTAAAAACTTTACTTATTAAGTAAGATAGAAGATAGCCTTAAGTAACTTAAGGCATAGTAAATTGATTTTTACTTATATAACCCAATAACTATGCTATATTCTACATTATACTATTTTAGTATACAAATATATTTACAAAATACAAATACTTTTAAAGTGTACTGAAATATTGCTGCCTAACCTTTTCCATGATTCACTTGTATAACATAAACTTCGCCTGCCTTAGGATTGTTGAGAGTAGTTGGTCTATCTTCATTAATGCTCTTCGCAATAAGACTTGCAATAACCTCTATCTTAAGATGATTTAAACAACCTGTCAAAACTGGAACAGTCATTTCTTTTTTAAACAAATTTAGCAATGTGTTTGGTTAGGTTGAATTTGTTTGCAGAAATCAAACTATAAATGGGTTAGCGTTCTTTAGGATGATCCAAAACAGGGTAGGTACAATCGGCAGAGCAGAGCAGATTGGCAGAGCATATCATTGAAATGTTAATAACGGCAGAGCAGATTATTCAATCAGCCGTTTCCTAATGTGTGATCTGCCAAATAATTCGGCAGATCATATAATAGAATTTTTATAATGTGATTGCCAAATATTTTTATGAAAAACGGTGCACTTCAAATAGAAAGAACTATGGGTTGACTTTTTAAACATAAACGTTTTTTGTTGTCGCAATACTTTTCCAAAAAAAAAAGGTGATCTGCCGTATTCTAATGTGTGATCTGCCAAATATTTCGGCAGATCATAATGCAACCGGCAGAGCAGATTGGCAGAGCAGATCATAGTAATAATAATAACGGCAGAGCAGATTATCCTATCAGCCGTTTTCTGAAGTGTGATCTGCCAAAAAAATTCGGCAGATCATAGATAAAATTGTTATAATGTGATTGCCTAATATTTTTAAGAAAGGCAATGCACTTAGAATAGAAAGAATCAATATTTGACCTAATTTTTATGCATAGACATTTTTTAGTCGCAAAACTTTACCAAAAAAAAAAGTGACCTGCCGTATTCTGATGTGTGATCTGCCAAATAATTTGGGAGATCATAACGCAACCGGCAGAGCAGATCATTGTAATGTTAATAACAGCAGAGCAGATTATCCTATCAGCCGTTTTCTGATGTGTGATCTACCAAAAAAATTCGGCAGGTCATTTTTCCAAAAAAAAAATGTTAATTTATAAATGTTCAGTAAGAATCCTATTTACATTTGGCGCATTTATAAACTTTGCAAATATCTCTTTTGTACTCAACAAAAAGCTCCTCTGTTAAACCTACGCAAGATGCATGAAACCACTCATTGCATAATGTACATTGGATCATTGAATCCGAAGACATAAAAATAGTGCGACATAGACAATACAAAGAGTTTCTTGAAACACGAATAACACTCTTCCGAACAGTTCTAAAACTTTCAACAGGAAACTGGATAATATGTTTTTTTTCAAGACAAGTCAATAAGTGTTGCCGCATTACTGACTCCTTGTACGTAAAATTGCAGGGATCTTTGCCTAAGCACAATGTAACGCAATTTGCAATTGCGTAAAATCCACATAGTAGGTCTTTTTGGCGGGATACATTGTTTATATTGAGCTCGATAGTGGCACACTGTAGACGCGCAAATTTTGCAATAGAACGTGTACACTCTTTGCTCGGAGTCAATTGTAAACTGCAATAAATGTTTATTTTACCTTCTTTGCAATGCTGGTTAGCTACAGTTATCCAATGACCTTTAATTTCATCATTAAAAATTTGAACGAAACCACGACTTGTAAACGGAGCACTATTACATTGACCCGCAAAACACAGAATAGGGTCTTGTAAACCATCCATTTCAGGAAACTGCCGTTTACACAAAATCATCGCAGCATAAATTACTTTGTCATTAAGGAGGCCAACTGGACTTGTGATGAGACTTCTATCAGCAATGCTTAGACTCATTGTATTAAATCGAAGCCAAGCCTCGTCATCAACCTGGAAAACAAAATTTCAATCATTAAATATTATAAACTAAAAACTATATAGACTTAACTGAGGATTTAAAAAAAAAACAATAATTCGTCAACAACGTATATTTATTGTGGTTACACTAATGCTCAATAAAAGATATTACTTAATAAAGATAATTGTAGAAATGTGAAAGCATAGGAGGTTAATGTTAGTTTGATATAGGAATATCATCAGAAGTAATGGTGTATTAAATTAAAATAACAAGAGTGAGTATTAAATACAATAACACACACCTCTAATTTAAATTAGTGCTTACTAGCCTATAAGCATAAATACGGAAATACTCTTAGAAAAACTTAGAAATGAATAAATAGAAATTGTTTCACTTACAATACAGTCTGATTTAACATTAACCAATGGTATCACATCTGAATTAAGTAATGATAGAGAATCAGATGCAACTAAAGAATATGTAGATTGACTTTTCTGTGCATCTGCATTGACAATTTTCAATCCATTTTGCTCGCTTAAAAACCATAACATATTTAATACAAAAAACAATTTAAAAATTAATTAATCAACAATTGAAAAATTAAAACTGAAAAACAAAAAAATAATAAGTAGTAAAGGCACAAAAACAAGGAACAGGAAATAAATTTACATTTTAGATTGATTTAATAAGGCTGCAATACCAATATTATCAAAATGTAAAGAATTATTTTCAAATAAATTTGGAAACATTCCATTATCAACATCAACTACTGGTGTAACATCTGAATTAATAAATAATGAACAATCGGATAAAACTAAAGAACCTGCAGGTTGAGATATCTTTGGAACACTTGAATTGACTAATGTTAATTTTTTTTGTTCCCTTAAATAAAATATACAACTTAGTTATAAAAAAACACTTACACTAAATATTAAAATTCTAAAATTTTAAAAACAATTATTTTACATTTTAAATTGAGTTAATGGGGTCGCCATAGCAATATTTTTTAGGTCAATATTTTCTGTCAAGAAATCATCTAAGCAATTTATTTCAAGATTTTTGGTTGTGGCAATTGCATCTGGTGCAGGGATAAAGGAAATATCTCCTTTCCTTGGCTTCTTCCTTCCTGATTTTTTGTCACCTTTTTTACTAAAAAGGAGTTCTTTTATATATTTTATTAAACAAAACAACATTAATTTTGCCAAGGAAACTAATAAAAAATTGAAAATATTCAAAAAGACAAAAAAACAAATAAATGTACCGCGAATTGCGTCGCAAATTAGTCAAGTTAAGAGGTCTCCTTTCACTACAATGCTCAACACCAACGCTATGTTTAACTGCTAGTATATGGCAGCACATTGCTGATGAAGGACATGTGCAGCTTTCTTTCGGAAATAACTTCACCACTTCCGCCTTGCTATCTGGTCCAGAAACTGTAAAAACTTTGATGGTTGGATTATGTACCACTGTTAGAATGTTGGAAAGGACTTTTATTGATGGTGGTACAAGCTGCTTTATTGGTACATTGGTTGCTGCACGTAGCTCGGCAATTACAAGTCCAGGATCCTCCATTCTGGGTATTTCCTCAATGTTAACTGAAACAATAGTTAAAGACTTCAAACATCATCACTATAGACACACTTCGTCTGACTTTTTCGCGCTAAGTCAGAAAAAAAAAAACTGTTAAAATAATTATGGCGAAAAATATTAAACATTAATTAGTTCAAGTTAAACATTAAATTAGTCATATAATGACAGGAGTAATCAAGTGCTTTTTTAAAACATTTTGTGAATCTGTCAATTTCACTTTTTTTGTTTTACATTCAAACCATAACTTAACTTTATAAGCATTCAAAAGAATAATTTGAACAACAGGATAGAAACTTTTTCAAAGTTTGCCCGGTCATTATGAATTAGATTATACTATATATTTCTTCTCTGGTGTAGACAAGTTAATAAACACATTATTCATTTATAAAAGTTATCAATAATTCAAACAGCAGTACTTTCTGTTGCAGTTGCTACAACTCAAAGTACTGTTGATTACATTGCTTATCATATTTTTCTTGACAAATTATTACAATTGACGTATTATTATAAAAATTCTTCTAGACAAAATATTACAATTGACATTATTACAAAAATTCTTCATGCCAAATTATTACAATTAACAAATTGTTACAAAAATTCTTCTTGACAAATTCATACAAGAATTATTACAAGTTGCATCAATTATAAAATCCTGTTAATTCCAAAAAATAAAATAATAGATCTTTGTATATCTTTTTGAAAGTATTGTTCTTACTCTCATTATTATAAACATAGATTGTCCAGGTCATATTTTTAAAATCTGGAAAATTATTTGGGTATAATATCTAGAAAAAACCTACAATATTATTTCCCTTAATTTTCTTCTTAACTTGACAATTCTTAAAAAGAGATATTATACAAAAATAAACAGCTAAACTTGTATATATGGAAAACATTTTGGATATCCAGAAAAAACACAAGTTAAGAAAATATCCGGAATTCCAGAAATAACCGGGAAAAGATAATCCCTGTATAAATTATATAATAATTATTGTAAATTTATATTTATAATTATTATAAATTTGTTAATATATATATATATATATATATATATATATATATATATATATATATACACATAGATATATTTATATAAATTAACATTACAATAAATTAAATAAACCTTACCATGAATATAACAATATTTACTTATGATAATTGAAACAACAACTATGTATACTAAACAGCAATATGTATACAACTTTCATTAACTGTTGGCAAATGATCAATATAGTAAATTTAAAATCATGAAAATTTACTAAATTCAAACCATATTTCAACAGTAAGGTAACTAAAACAAAATGAAAAAAAAAAAAGAGAAATTAAGGTGGAAAAACTTCTTTTCTTATAACCAAAAAAGTAATATAAGCGTTAATCATATATATGATGTAAAAAAATTGTGTTCTATTTTTTACCTACCTGCACTGAATGTTTATTAAATTTGAAAAACAAACTACTAAATGTTCTTGTTCTGGAACATGCAACAAATATTTACCTATTGGAAAAGCACTATTTAATTTGAAAAAATTAAATAAATATAATTTTTCTTTAATTAAAGTAATGTTATATCGGTAATGGTAGATATTGTGTGTAAAAGTTCTACAAAAATAATCATTAAATGACATAATATGTTTACCTGGAATTATTTTAATCTAAAAAGTATTCTGAAAACTTTGTATTGTATAATTAAAATATGAAAGTGTACTGAATGCAAAAAATAAAAATTTGAAAAAAGGCACAAAAATGACAAAAAGTAAACACGCATGGCTGCTTCTTTTCACAATAACCCAAAAGAGGCCATTAGAAAAGGAGCTTGAACATTCAAAATTTTGACCGCACACACTCGTAGATTGTTTAAAACAAAAACAAACATTAAATACTACCACTAAAAGCACTAGCAACACAGTCTCAGTACATACAACAATTGTACATACATGCATACATACATGCATACATACATACATACATATATATATATATATATATATATATATATATATATATATATATATATATATATATATATATATATATATATATATATATATATACACACACACCTACACACACAGTATATTATTGTTACTTTTTTATTACACTTCATTAGAGTATACTCTGGTTGAATACTCTATACACAATAAATGTCCCACTGCCTGTTAATTAGCAAACAAAACAATCTACACCCTTGCTTAGAGTCATTAAAGCTAAATTTTGGTAAGCCTTGAAAAATTTTATACAAAATAAACCAAACAAGTTTGAAAATATACACTAAATTTTTTTCTTTGTTTGTCATATCGCAACTGAACTAAAGTTTGAGATAACTAAACATTTGAATAAAACCCGCTGTAGGGAAAATATATTAGAGAAAAAAACAAAGTTTTCTAGTCTGAATTCCAAAACATAGTGCAAAAATGTAAGACTAAATATCATCTATATAATACTGATGATGAATATATTCTTATGTGCAACTAATTTTCCTAAAACAGTGTAAAAATAGAGCATAAATAAGTTAACACAGTTCATAAATAAATAAAAGTTATAACATATTTTAAATACATACTAGATAGGTGACTACTTTTATTGAGAGTGTATGGCCCAAAGCCACCAAAACTGCGTCTGATTTCTGTTAGATAAAATTCTTGCAAACGGTGCATTGCTATAAGCATTGTATCAACCGGTGCCTCTTCCCAATCCTGATACTTCTTTATTACAGCATTCAATGATTCAGATACATTGTTTGAAATAAAGTTTTGCATTAAACCAACAGACCTCAAATGTCCAATATAAGCAATTAAAATGCGAGCGCTCAAGTGGTTTTCAAAATAAATAACAAAGGCTTCACTCCAAGAAAGCCTTAATGTACCAATCTTCATTTCAAGCTGCCCCTTACTTTGACATTGTAAAAGTTCTTGTAATTGAGATTTGTATACATTTATCTCTTCCTTACCAGCATAGTGTTTTTTCAACCAAATCTCAGCATCTGACAAAATATGGTTAGAGCATGTTACTAGGTTCCACCTAGGAAATGCTTTTTGAATTGAATTGCCCAGACCACTCTCGCCATCTGTTACAATTACCACCTGATTTAGAGTTGGTAGTTTTGTTTTAAGAGTTTTAAAAAAATGTTTATGAACAACATCAAACTTTCGATCATGTAATACAAAAGCTATAGGCATACATGGTTTTTCCACAAAATAACTCATTTGTGCCACTAAAATTGATAAGTAAAAATCACCTAAATTAAATGTAGTATCATATGATAGAAATACCTCAGAGCACATAACAAGCTGATCTATGGATTTCTGCATGCCAAATGATACTGACAAGTCAGGGTTAGTGGATATTGTCCATACAAATCCTGGAATCATATAAGCAAGTTCATGAAGAGTTATAAAGGAATCAGTACCAATTCTTTTACCTGCTGCCTCAACACTTTTTACATACTTAAATTGTCTTGGATTTCTTGGCTGAAACTGTATCTGCTTTGACATCAATGAGTAGATCTTTGTAACTTTTTGAATTAACAATTGCACTCTGCACGGATAAAGCAGTTGGTAGGAAGTTAATAGCTTTTTTAGAGTTTCCTAAAATCCATTAAAATATACCTTAGTTAGACATAATTTTTAGTCAGGAACCTATGAGAAATATACTATAAACAAACATGTTACTGAACTGTTATTAAAAGATAATATGAAAAAATTACCATGTGGCTTAAGGACAGCAAGTTCGTGGTTTCCCATATAATGAATGACAACAACATCTTTTTGGCTTAAATCTTTATACACAAACTTCTGAAACAAAGTTGATGTCCCAGTAGATGTTACTGTGGCATAGTGGAGTTTTGAGTAAACTGGAGAGCCACGTGGAATTTTACAGCATCCACTCTGTTTCCATCTATATCCATCTGCACGCCAATCATCTAAAAAAACAGTCTTTTAAATATCTACAAATAAAAATGAAATTTTTTTAAAATATTTTAAATACATCTAACAAGAAATGTTTCCGCCTACATTGGTACTTATTATATAATAGACAAAACGTGTTATTGTATTTTTAAAAATTCATCTAATAGTTAATGGATATTCAAAGTACACAACAATAAATGTTTATTTATATATATATATATATATATATATATATATATATATATATATATATATATATATATATATATATATATATATATATATATATATATATATATATATATATATATATATATATGTTGTAATATTTTTTGTTTGTTATAAATTTTTGTGTATATTACACTATTTTGATGTACAAATAGCAAACACAAATGAGAGGGAAGGGCTTTCTAAGCTTTCTAGGCAGTATCATCCTCAAGTACATTTTAGTATTACTTAAGAATTAAAACAAGTTACAAATATAACAATAAGTTATCATCTTTATATTTACTAAAAATAAGTTACTTATTTAAGTAACTTATTTACTTAAAGAAAGTAACTTTTCTTAATATTTAAATTAATCTTCTTAACAATATTATTACCTAATAATTTTTTGAAGGGTTTAAAAGGCTTTATTAATTAGAAAGGCAAAATAAGGCGTATAAAGGCTCATTCTTATTACAAATAATATTTATTTATTTAATTAGTCTAATAATATTAGACTAATTAAAATTTATAGAATGTAAATAAAATCTATATTGTTAATTACCTTTCCCATTGTTCACTTGAACGACATACACTTCTCCTGCTTTTGGATTGTTGAGCACAGTTGGCCTGGTAGTAATATCACTATTAGTGATAAGTTCAGTAACAGCTTCTATCTTTAAATGATTAAAAGAATTTATAAGTGCTGGAACCGCCATTTTTTAATAAACTAATATATGTACGTAAAAGTTGCCGTAAATGATCTGCTTAGCCAATCTGCTCTGCTCTGCCGATTGTACCTTCTTCCAGCCAACAATAGTGACTTTGAAATCGGCTGCGGCTGAAAATATTGTTTGATTGGTGGCTTAGTAGTTGCTAATAACGCAAAGTGGCGGCTGTAAAAAGTAGGTACAAGTGGCGGCGGCTTCTCGCTAATGGCGGCGGCTTTGACCTCTAATATTGTTTCACTTAGATTGTTAGTAATTAAAAAAATGAATAATATAAATGAACTGGGTAATCAAACAGATAGTAAGTTCATATGTTTTTTCATAATAATACTATTGTTTATTACTTTTACAAGTATTTTTTTGTTAAACTTTCAAAAATCATTGACTAGATAAAACCTACTCAATACTTTTTTTTAAGTAACCCCTAATTTTCGTTATTTACACCTTTATTTTATTTGTTATTTACACAGTACTTTTCTTTGCTCTTTACAAAATTGTTTTATTGGATTTGTTGCCAAAAATGTGTATTTTTTTTTAAATATATTACACCTTTTTTAACTTTCATCGTCATCTGATGCAGTTGGTAAGTTAAATAAGTATTTTTTTATTAGGTGTTTCTACTTATTCTTTAAAGCTATACTATAAGTTTAATACCTTTTTTTATTTTATTTGATGACACCTTATTTTTCTTTTAGTTTTATCAACATCTGCCAGTGGCAAATTTTTTCAGATCTGTATAGAGTTAATGTCGAAATCAAAGTTATTTTTATTTATTTAATTTTTTTACCTTTAGCTTTGTCACCATCTGCTATGGTTGGTAAGTTTGAAAACTTTTTTTATAAAATAGTTATGTATAGATTTGTTGGCAAAAACTATGTATGTTTTGTTCTTTACATTTTTTTTACCTTAGGCTTTATCTACATTGAGAACATTTGGTATGTTAATCTTTTATGATTTATCTATTGTATAATACTTAGTCTTTTGATTATTGTTTAAATCATTACAAAAACATTTCTAATTTTTCCTTCTTGTTTAGATGCAGGCTTACTATTTCATCAGTTTTTGAGATTCCTTAAGTGATATATGATAGTGATGTATAGTGATATGATAGTAGTGTATAGTGTATAGATATGATATGATAGTGATGTATAGGTGTATAGGAATGATAGTGATGTATAGGTGTATAGATATAATAGTGACGTATAGATGTATCGATATGATAGTGATGTATAGATGTATAGATATGATAGATAATAGTGACATATAGGGATGACATGAACAATATAATTTTTAATGTTATTCATAATAAAATAAACATTTTGATGCCTTAAAGTTTTTTAATACAAAAGATATCTTTTTTATAATCTTTCTTTTATTGTTTAAATCATTATACAACCTTTCTTAATGTTTACTTGTGTAATTATATTTTCATTATATACTTGATCAATAAAGTTGTTGCACATTATGCAGAACTTGTTTGATTGTTGTTACTTATTCACTTACTGTTGTCAAATTTAAGGTGTTTTTTTTATTTTGATATACAGTTTTTTTGTTAATTTTAGTCCAATCGACTCGGCCTTCCACTGGTAAAATTATATTGCTATTTCAGTCATATTTATATAACTAGAAATTTAATGTATGCTTTGGTTTAATTCATATGTTTTTTATCTCAAGTCATTTCTTAAACAACTGTGATTAGTAATTTTAAAAGCTATTGTTTTTTAACTTGTGAAAGATTTATTGCCAATATCTTTTTTTTTTTGTAGATAACATCCGTTTTATTTTTAGTTCCATCTACATCTGAAACAGTTGGTAAGTTTAAGAGTCAATTCTTTTTCAGTAGTGTATTGATTTAATCCCATTTTCAACTTTTTTTGTTTATGTTTGTATTGCATCTTTTTGTGATATTAGTTGCATCTACATCCTTCTTTTTTGCTATTAATTAAACCTTTTTTACATTAAGCTTTATCGACACCTGCTGTGGATGTCGATATCATTTCTTTTGTTATGGCTATACTATAGATTTAATATCAAATTCAATTTTCTTTTTGATTACAGCTTTTTTTTTACTTTTAGTTTCATCAACATCTACCACATTTAGAAAGTTTAAAAGCTATTTCTTTGTTCACTTTGTATGTAATATGTGTATGTAAGGCCAATTTCTAATACTTTTTTACTTGGTTACACCTTTTTTTAATCTATATCTGCCACAGTTACTTAGTTTAAAAGCTACTTTTTAATCTCTGTAATAATTTAATGCCTAAATCAAATTTTTTTTTGGTTGAGTACATCCTTTTCACAAATAGTAAGTTTAAAAACTAATTGTTTTTCAGCAGTGTTTTGATTTTTCTAAAAAAGTTTTTATTTTGTTAATTACATTTTTTTTTGATTTTTAACTGCATCTACATCTGCTTTGGTTGGTATGTTAAAAAACTATTTCTTTGTTAGCAGTGTATAGTCTATCTCATTAAAATTATACTATAGATTTAATCCCAATTTCATTTTATTTTTGTTGTCTACATCATTTTTCAACTTTAAGTTCCTACAGCACAATCTTCTGCAGGTTAATGTATAAATTGAAATATTTTTTTATGATTGTTTTTCGTTTTTAAAAAACTTTAATGCTTATTTATATTTTATAAAAGTATTTTATTTTAAATAAGCAAATTCTAAATAAAAGTTTTTAATTTTTTTTTTGTAAGGGTTTATATAAAATGTTTCATAATGCTTTGAAATCTTAACTATCATTGAAAAGATGAATTTATACAAACACTTATCTGCAAAACAACTTGAAGATTTAGATGATGTGATGTCTGAAAGAATTGCTAGCAGAAAACTCTGTCATGAATGGTATGATACTGACTCATCAAAGTCTATCATTTATGATGGTAGACTAGAAAAAGTAAGCAAAAAACAAAATGATAAAATTTACACTATTTCTTACTGAAAACAAGATAAAACTGATATTGAAGCTGTTGAGCATAAGACGAAAAAAATCCAGTTAGCTGCTAATGTTGTATTGGATGAGTTAATATTTTCTTAGTTTGAATATGAAATAATGTAAAAATGCTTGAAAAAAAAGTTCTGCAAGTTTTGTGGCTTGCAAACAAGTACTTCAAGGTTTGTGGATTGCAAATAGATACAGCAACTTTTGTGGTTTGCAAACAAGTACAACAAGTTTTGTGGCTTGCCATCAGGTAATGCAAGTTTCGTGGCTTGCAATTAGGTACAGCAAGTTTTGTGGCTTGCAAATAGGTACAGCAAGTTTTGTGGCTTGCAAATGGGTACAGCAAGTTTTGTGGCTTGCAAATGGGTACAGCAAGTTTTGTGGCTTGCAAACAAGTACCGCAAGTTTTGTGTCTTGGAAATAGGTACAGCAAAAACATAAATCATTTACTAAAAGCCAAAACAATAGTTAATTACTTTTTTTATTTCAAAAGACTTGCTGCTTTGTGTTTTTTTTAGGTTGGAGTTCAACAACAAACTTGCTTTACCTAATGGCAAGCCACAAAACTTGTTGTACTTGTTTGCAAGCCACAAAACTTGCTGTATCTATTTGCAGTCTTGTAACATGGTAAACAATTTTTTATACTATTTTATATGTATTTAAAAAGCATTTTTAAACTTTTTTTGTTAAATTCTAATTAAATCTTTTTTTTAGGTATTGGGCAGAAGGGGGGGGGCGGCTTACACTCTTTCATGAAGGCAATTTATACACCACTGTAACATGGTAAAACAGTTTTTTATACAATTTATATGTGTTTAAAAAGCATATTTAAACTTTTTTTGTTAAATTCTAATTAAAACTTTTTTTTTAGGTATTAGGCGGAAGGTGGGGGGGGGGGAGCCGGCTTACACCCCCTTTCATGAAGGCAATTTATACACTACTGTAACATGGTAAAACAGTTTTTTATACTATTTTATATGTGTTTAAAAAGCATTTTTAAACTTTTTTTGTTAAATTCTAATTAAAACTTTTTTTTTAGGTATTGGGCGGAAGGGGGCGGCTTACACCCCTTTCCATGAAGTCAATTTATACACCACTAGTTACTATTTTTCCAAGTATCGAAATATATTTTTTATTTTTTATACTAAAATTAATTGTTTTAGTAAAGATTGAAATATTTAAAAAAATGGAAATTTTGATAGGGTGTGTTAAACCTTATTCAAAACCCAACACCCGACTTTGAAATAGACTTGTAATATTCACTAGTGATGTGGAATAAAATAATAACAATTTTTTGTATATAGATATTTGTAATTTTAAAAGAAAAACATTTTTTTATGAAAAAAAGTGTATTTTTGTGAGGTGTAGGTGGTGGATTAGCACCCCCTCCGGATCCCTGGATGCGCCCTTGACCTAAAATTTAATTGAAAATTATAGCCCTTTTTTACACCTATCTTTTGATACCAAGTTATAGATATTTGAATAAGAATTAGCAAAGTTATAACAATTTATGTGAAAAAAAAATTTTTTTGGTCACAGTTTTATCAAGAAATCCATAAATTGAAAATTTGCTACTTAAAACGTCATAACTTTTGATAGAATTGTCCGATTTTCATAATTTTTTCACCTTTAAAATACTGTATTTGAGGGCTTTCTATATATAACATACTAGTATTTGATCAATTTAAAAAAATCAGTCCACATACCTAATATATATGAATATATATATATATATATATATATATATATATATATATATATATATATATATATATATATAATGTATATATATGTTATACAAACATACATATATATACATATACTATATATCCATATATCCATATATATATATATATATATATATATATATATATATATATATATATATATATATATATATATATATATATATATATATATATATATGTGTATATTTATATAATAAACATATACATATTTATTATATAAATATATATATATATAATATATATATATATATTTATATAATATAATAAATATATTTTTATTTATTTTATCAATAGATAAAATAAGTACCAAAACTTAATAACCCTATAACATAACAGTAGTCTCTGAAATAAAAAGGGTTAAAGACTAATTTAGTTCATTACCAGTTTTATGGATTGAATTGTGTGATTCAGATTCCGATTATACAAAATCTGAAAATGGAAAGAAGTTTTCGGTATCAATTTCAACCTCAAACCTGGAGTTTCCTACTCCTCCTCAGTTGCAATCCGGTTAGAATTTGGCATTTTAATAAATATTTTACAGATCATTAATGATCCATCAACATTCTTAACATTGATGATTATAATTGTCCATTAATGACATTTAAAAAAATAAAATCTGTTTTTCTATTATACTATATTTTGTTTTGAAAAATATTTGATATTACAAATATGTTTATAATGCATTATTTGCGCATAGAAATTCAAAATGGGCCTCTTCAAAATGCATCATCTACTATCTGCTCTCTCTCGTCATTATTTTTAAACGGTTTATCCTTTACTTAAAAAGGGTTTGTTAACACTTTTTTTTTTTAACTTGAGAGTTTTACAATTTTTAAACTTTAAATTATGGTTTGCAAACTGTCTGTTTGTATATGAATGCTTGTAAAAATAAGCTTAAATATTTAAATAGACAACCAAACTACACTACCATCATCGATGTTAACGCCAGTGCTTACTATAGCACTGCAAGTAGAGCAGTTATCACCTGATTTGGTCAATTGTCATGTTGGAGGTGTGTTTCATTTATTTATGCATTAGCAAATGATGAATTTGTTTGTTTGTTCATATGAACTTAATATATATAGATTTAATAATATTTACTTACTATTATTACTATTATTTTTATTAAATTATTATTATGCGTATCTAAAATGTATATATTAATTTTTTTTTTCTTTGCATTTAGAAAATGATCATCGAAAACTAATATTATTAGAAGAGATTAAACAAAATAATCAAACTATAATTTTTCTTCTGCAACAAGTATCAGCACAACAGCAGCGTGGTAATATAGAAACAAGTTTTGATGAGTTTGGGCTTCCTGTTTCATTAATGGAATATATACAAAAACTAGAAACTGATTGCCTTGACAATGACCTCTGAGGAAAGCTTGTAAGATTTTTGTTATAATTGTTTAGTTCCCTTATTCAAGTTACTTTAAATTTATTACATAGTAAATAATATCTTTTAAAATTGTTTTTTTTATTTTAGACCTTTTTTAGTCCCTTTAGTTATTTAGGTCAGTGTGTCAAAAAAACCAGCCTAAAAAAACCCAATAAAACCCGGGTAAATCTGAGGTTATTGAGTTTTTTAAAGATATTTAATAAGTTTATGAACTGTTATAACCAACTTTAACATTATTAACTATAATATTATTAACTAACATAATTATTAATTATTATTATTAACTAAATTATTATTAACTAATATTGTTAACTATTATAACCAACAATAACAGCTATCAGACTAATATTTGAACCATTACTTGGAAATACATTATAACAATTTTTATTAAAATATTTTTATCAGTTGAGATTTTTTAATCTTTTATGTTATTCACCTCCCTAGGTGAATTTAAATGAGTATTAGTGGCCAGAGAAAGCCACTACAGTGAAGGAGGCTACCTTGTGGTTACAATCCTCTTTCAACTCTTTAACTCCTAAACACAATTTTTTATAAACAAGGCAATTGCGCGAAGAAACAAGTTCGTTCATTTAAATTTCAAGTTCAAATTTTAATTGAAACTTTAGTTACTACCTCCTATTCTATAGCCTTGTTTTTCCTATTTCTCATTGACATTTTTAATTACATAGAATAATACTTTTAAATTTAAATTAAACCAATACATATAGATTTAATGCAAAATATTTTTTTTCTATTATAGTTTTAAATTGTATTTAAAAATCTTTTTCAAATTAATTTGAAAAGTTCTTATGAATTATTAAATAACAATATATAAATATATTTTAAATAAAATTAAAGTAGAAAATTTCATATAGTTTTTTTTGTTTTTTTTTCAATATCATTGAAAAAAAAACATTTTTACACAGACGAAATAAAAATAAAACCCAAAAAAACCCAAGTTTACCCAATAAAACCCTAAATTACCCAAAAAAAACCCCACTAAGCCGGTGTAGTATGAGATTTTTACTCCCATTTTTTTTTTACTCCCCTTTAAAAATTTGGTATGAAATTAGTGCAGCGGAGTAAAAAATGCGTAAGAAATTTTTACTCCCTTATGAGATTTTAACTCTCATTAGATATTTATGTTAATATAGTGCTTAACTAATATATTTAATAAAAGTTAAACTTTTAATAATAACTTTTTTTAACTTAATTTATTTTCTACATTTTAGTGGGAGTAAAATTTCTTATATTATTTTGAATAAACGGTGAAAATATAAATTTTACAGATAATCTTTTTTAAACTTAAAGATCATAGAATATGCAAGTACTTGTTTGATCAAAATGTGTACTTGTTTTATTAAAAAATGAAGGGAATACCTAAAATTGTTTAATTTTACTATTAGGCTATTGTACTTGTTGCAAATTTGTTAGAAAAGAAGTTTTCTAAACAACAAGTTTACCTTGCCAACCTGCAGAATCTGAAAATCGCAGTTTTTTATTTCTTTCTGACTTTTTTATTTAACAGTTCACATCTGCAAAAAAAAAATTCTCGTTGGTTACCCTATGTATCAGATAGGGTTAAGATTTTTTTTTAAATTAAACATATACTGTTATATCGGTTTATTTCTGGATTCTTTGCTTTTCGAAGATGATTTATAAATATTTTTTTTTTGATAATTTTCTATATTTTACAACAGTACAACATTAAAGTGACTTGCAGTTAAATTGTCAAGGAATATAGCATGTTCACTAAGCCCATGAACGAGGCACACCCAATTATTTCTGCATCAGTTGCCCAAGTTATGTTATCACTCATACCACTTTCATTTAGATACGTTATTATTGATTGATTCATATATAAAGTCATTTCATCATTAATATGAGTACACATATGTTTAGCAACTTTTTCTCTTATAATTTCATAACTGCATTCACTGTTTGTAATGATATACGATATTGCCCTAAAAAAGGAATGACCATCGCCTATGGTTTTGTGTATTTTGTGTTTTGGATGCAAAAGTAGATTAATATTTGCAACAAAAATATTTTTGGTAGTACCAATTCCAAATTTTTCAGAAATAAAAGTTCTTATTTCAATAGTTGCATATTTTCCGTTTTTATCATTAGAAATTTGCATATTTTAATTTCATCAAATGTGATTTCTTGTTCATCATTAGTTATTTTTTCATTATATAAACATAACTTTGTCAAGTTGTACTTTGTTTTCAAAATTTTACCCTTTATATTTTTCAAAGTGCAGTTATTTGTGCTAGAAATAAAGTTACAATGTATGGTCCAGTTCAAGGCTTTACAAGTTTACCACCTTTTTATCATCACGTCTGCTATTTCTTAGTAACACTTTTTTATTTATGCTAATTTCATTATTTGGTACAATTCTCTTGTCGTAATCATGTTTTTGTCTTTGAGATTTTTCAATATTTTTATAAGCATTAAAGTCAATTAAATTGCAATCTATATCAATAGGAAGAACTGCTTCCCTTTGGTAAAGCAATGCAAACGGTGAAAACCCAGTAGACTTGTGCTTTCTAACTCTTAAAGAAAACAAAACACTATCAATATTGTATGACCATTCCAGAGCAGCCTCGTCAAGCACTTTTACTAATATACGTTTAATTGTTTGATTTTGTCTTTCTACTAATCCATTAGCTTGAAGATGATATGTAATGATGATATGCACTCGTAGTTCTTTGAATTGTTCCTGTTTTTGAGTAAAGTTCTTTAGAAATTTCATTTACAAACTCATGACTCTGGTCATTTATTTGAATTTCAAAACAGCCATGTCGACATATCTGTTTATACAAAAAAGCCACAGCTTTAGCAGTTTTATCGGTAAGTGCTTCTGCTTCAACCCATTTACTGAAGTAGTCGATTAATACAACCAGATATTTGCAACCGTTAACTTCTGGTAGCTGTGTTAAATCGATTCCTACCTGCTTCATATTGCCTTTAGGAATTGAAATATTTTGCAGCAATGGTTTTGACTAAAGTTTTCTGTTCTTTGGCTTTTGGCATTGGTCACATTTGGAAACATAAGTTGTAATATTTATTATCATAAAATATCATTTGCTTTTTTTTACTCCGCGCGGAGTAAAAATCTCATATGCTTTTTTTACTTCGTGCTAAAAACTTCATACGATATTTGTACTGGGGAGTAAAAAAATCACGGGAGTAAAAATCTCATACTACACCGGTTTTTTTTTAAAAAAATCCGGGTTTTCACTGAATCAACTAAAAATGTTATTAGGCGGTTAATATCAAACAACATTGCAGTAGTTAATAATTGGGAGGGGAAATATACCTTTGGGAATAGCAAGCTTTGTCAAATTATAAATAGTGCGTTATTTTTTTTTGTTTTAAAATGTCATTATTTCATCTTACTATTGATGTTTTTTTTATTAATATTTTTTCAAAAAATATTTACTTATAATTTTCATCGTTTTATATAAATGAAAGTAAATGAGTTTATAGTTAATACTTATAAGTGTGTATGCATAATACATGTTTATTTTATTTAGATGCTGTTCGGCGTAATCCTACAACATGTCGCGGTACGGATGCAAGGTTGCTTGTGCCATTAAAGCATGGCTTCGATTCGCGAAATTCGTGTGGAGGGGGGAGAAGAAACATCATTTTAACGATTTTAGTTATGCAGTTTTATATATAGTTTATGATTTTTTTGTATGTGTGTAATAGTTTAAATTATTTTGTAACGAATAAACATTCAACTAGAAACCAACAAATTTATTAACTTTAATACTTTTATGTAACTTTAAATACTTTTACATTTTCAACTTTCATAATAACGTTAGTTCAATGAGTATCAAATCATCCCAGTCGTCACACAACGCGTTACTAACATTGTTGGAAACAATGCTTAAAGTCTTAGACCAACGTTAATAAAATGCACAAATGCGAATACAATATAAAACTAACAGTGTGCCAACGCAAATGCCAACAACATTGAGTATACACGATGCCGACATAGGCCCGATGGGCAGCCGATCATATGCCAACGCGATTCCAACCTTTAAACATTATTACGTCAACATAGCCCCTACAAACCCATACCAACGGTGCGCCAATGTAATGTCAACATTATACAAAATGCGTTATGCCAACGTGTCGCCGACTATTTCACTTGGTTCAGCCAACGTTGCGCCAACAATTTAAAACCACAAGTGGGCCAACGTTACGCCAACAATATTGAGCGTATGTTACGCCAACGTAGGCACGATAGGCAGCCAACCATATGCCAGCACAACGCAAAACAACGTTGGCCCGACAGCAAATATAACGTAGTTGCGCCAGCTAACACAAAACAACGTTGGCCTAACAGCAAATCCAACTTAGTTACGCCAACTAACACAAAACAACGTTGGCCCAACGATACAGGCTGCTCGGTAATATAATAGAACCTATAATTTTTACTTTAAGTCTTTATAAAAATGTTTTTTATTTTGTAGTGTTATGATTTTTTAATTTTTATTGTTTTATATTTAGGGTATAGATTTAGGGGCTTCGTGATAAGATAAATTATGGCTTCTTCTTGCACCTACTGTTTGTATTTATAATATGTTTAACGGCTTGAATAAATTTATACGGCACAAAAAAAAAAACAAAAAAAAAGATAGAGTAAAAAATTATATACACATATAATATATGTATATTTTGTTTTACTATTTTTTTATAATAGATAATATAATAATATATAACATAATATGTAATGCATAGAATATAGGTAGTATAGATAATATACCATATTATTTATATTTGTGTTCCAATTAACTTCTATAAGATTTGCTTATTATTAAAATTTCCAGGTTTTTGTTTTCTTTTATTTTGTTCATTATTTTAACGATTATGTTTCGATGTATTTAAAAAGTCACTTCAAAAAATCTTGATTATAAAAATCCCTTTACTTTTTCATATACCCATCACCCAGCATTTTTTTAAAATTTTTTCTTTGTTTTTATAAACTAATAATTTAGAACAATTGTTCTTGTTCAAGTCAGTTATTCTATTATCTTCTATAATCCTTTAGATTCTCTAGATTTATTTCCAATTCCGTGTGCACGTTTAATAACTAAATTGCTTATTCTCAGTTTCTCCTGTAGTAGGGATGCAGTTAAATAATAAAAAAAAAAGTTTGAGAATTTTTTTTTTAATGTTTCACCCTTTAATATGTCTATTTTCATGCAATTAACATTGGAAACAATAAAAAATATTTCTTGGTCCATATTTACATCTTAAAATGCTCTTAGGTAGCATCAGAGCCCATAGCAACGTCCGTAGTTACCATGAACAGAAGTTTATTCTTTATTTTCCTCTCATAATATATGCCTTATTTTACTCTTAACATATACTAAGGTGTATCTGCTATATGTTTTTAGCAGTTTAAATATTATATTTTGAAATCACAATCATAACTTAGACATATAAATAAGCTGATAAGTTGTAACAGTACTGTTGAAAATTTTATACTTTGTATTATTTACAAAAATTTACCAAAAACTGTATTTGTTGGCAGGGAAACCATAGAAATGGGTGTACATTCAGCTATTATTTATTTTAATGATGAGTGGAAAGGAATACTGAAGGTTTTGAACACTTTGGCTTAAAAGAAAAATTTTCAAAGGCTGTGGAAACAAAATTAGATAATTCACGCATTAAGCAAATGGATAAAAAGTTCACAAATGCAGAGAAAAAAGCGTAGAAAAGGATTGCGAGCTAGAAAAAAAAGATTTTATCATAAAAATGGGTGAAAAAGAATCAGTCGATTTATATCAAACTGGTTCTTACTGGGGAGATTTTTTTTTGAACATTTTATTTTTGTTTTGCATTTTTTTCTGTTTTTAATTTTTTGCATACTAGCTATAACTCAAAATATGATAACTTGAGATAGAACTGAGCATTTAACTTGAAATTTTAAATTTGTGTTTGATATAATCTAATACTCCGGATGACCGTTTGATTTTACACAAACTTCTAATAACTTATAAAAATTAATAAGGTACAAAATTTGTATCTACATTTGTTGAAAAAAATTTATACAAAAACTTTTATTACTCATTAAGTAAAATGATTTATGCAAATCCGGATTTATGCAAATCCGAATTTATGCAAATCCGGATTTACGCAAATCCGGATTTATGCAAATCCGGATTTATGTAAATCCGGAGTATAATATAATAATATACATATATGCAAAAGGACTTTTAATTTTTTTTTTTTATTTTATCAAGATATCATGTTTCAAAAAAATCATTTTTAAGGGTCAAAATTAACACATTTTCCGCCATTATGGATTTTCTGTTAAAAAAAAAATTTTGTGCAAACTATTTCTCTTAATGTATTTAACAGTTTTAATAAACTAAAAAATGTTGCAATGATGAATTTCAGAAAGAAGTCTATTTGCATCCTTACCACCTTAAACGTTTTTGGACATTTTGCTCGGCCTCAGCCTATAAATATACAGAGAAAGAATCATTTATATGGTCTCCCTCATATATATATATATATGATTTTTCTCGATTTACCTGGTGAAGGTAACACAGACTGCAGAAGAAATTTAGAAAAGTTTTTTTATTCATTCATTATTACTCTGTTCTTTAAGAACATTAATGCCTATTTGTAGAATACATTAACTTACATACATACGTACATAAATACATATATATATATATATATATATATATATATATATATATATATATATATATATATATATATATATATATATATATATATATATATATATATAATACAAACCAGATTTTAAGTAGAATAATACAATATATTTATACAAGCCATGTTAATAAACGTTATAATAACATATAAACAGAGTAAGTACTATAAAAACTGTTAAAATATTAATTCTTTTATCTCTAAAAATCTACAGCTGTTTTTTCATTAAATATTCATTAAAATTTTTTTTATAAATACAAAAAATATGGAAGTAACAAAATAGATTGTAGTTGTAATATAGTTGTTTTATAAGTAATAACACAGAAGCTCGTGATGACTACTTTTGAAAAACTTGCAAAACTGAAACTATTTTAGTAAATAGAGTTCCAGTTGCCCGAGTATTGCGCCCTTTTTTAGAATTTACTGAAGCGTCTCTGAAGATATAAATATGGGTTAACTTTTATAGACCTATCCAACTTAAACAAAGTTATTGATTAAGAGCAACTTCGCTTCCAATAACGCATACTTTTTTTTATTTCATCATTTTTACTCTAATTTTAGTAACATAACATGTGCAGTAGAAGTTTATCGTGAAATTCTTTATTTTGTAATGTAAACTAAACATAGTTTAAGCTACTAATGTTATGGAATTTTTATATTTTGAATTAAATATTTTTTATTGGTTAATGTAAAACGGATGTATTTTATCTTTGTGTTTTGTTAAACTTTAGTTTACGATTGATAGATTAAAAATTTTTTAAATATTTTAAAAAAATACAAAAGTATTTACATAAAATTAAATCAAAATGAAAAATGTGATTAACTGTCATCTCATAGTTATGCATGTAACGTGAAGTTTTTTGGCGTGAATCCACTACAATGAACTATCATATAGCTGATTATCTTTATTGAATAATCCTTTTTTTAGTCGCGAAATTAGAAACAATACAATTAATTAAACAGATAAATAAAGATGATAGAAAAAAAGTTAAAACTTTTTGAACGAAGGAAGATTTTAATTTTTGAAATAATTTTTATTTGATTTTGAACATCTGCTGATATTAAATATTCAAAATTTTCTTCTTGCATAATTCAAGATTGTTTATCCTTGTATATCAGATGCATCAAAGACAAGCGGACTTTAATATTAAAGAGGAAAAAGAATCTTAACACAAAAGGTATTTTACATAAGTATATATATATATATATATATATATATATATATATATATATATATATATTCAAATATTTTTTAAATAAAACATTAAAAAAAATAGAAATTAAGAAAGCAGCAAAAAGAAAAAGAGGAAAAAAAACTTAAATAATTAATAGTATGAAAAAAAAAATTAATAATATCAAGAAACAATTCATTAAGAAACAAGAAAATATTCATTAAGATTTTGTATTTTTGTCAATTTACATTATAACGGAATTAATAAAATTTTTGATTAAATTACATTATTTAGCAATCAAATAGAGTGAGTATTAGTTTAACAATAGTTTACACCCTCCCCCCACCTTTCTTGCCCAAATCATCCGCTCCCTGCAAAAACTTTTCTTTAGCAATAATGTCTTTAATCCACTTTAAAAAAAGAAACGAAATCTTTTATTTCGAAATGCTAACTTCACTCATTTTTATATTTTAAAACTGATGGTTTAAGTTATCTTTCATAAATCTTAGATTAAAATGTCGTTGAGTTTTCACAATCTTATATACTGGAAAAACGCAATGCAAACTGTGGCAACCTTTTTATCTGGTCTTATCGTGTTGCTAGCATTATATTTTTACAGCGTCTTAGAAGTTCTCTCGTGTATCGCAATTCCTTCACTAGTCATAACCATGGCAATGCGGATAATTTATTATATCTTAAATATGATTTTCAAGGAAAACTTTGAGCATCCCTTTAAGTAAGTAAAAAATTTATAACATATTAATACTAAATAATATTTACTGTAAATAATATTTATAATACAAATACTTAATAAATATTTCTTTTAATCTTATTATTCGGATGCTATATAAATATTAATGGGTGTAGCTCAACCTAAATAACGCCCAGCCTCGCGTTTAGAGTATTAATTATTCTTGAATCATACTTTACATCATTGCATTACTTGAATTAAATAAGAAATTAACTATCTGCTAAATATATTATTTTTAATTGTTTAGAATTTGGTTAAAGAAAGATTTAAATTTATCAAAGGATAAAGTATGCTTGTTTTTATTAAAAAAAAAATTTTATATCTATTGTAAAGTGTTTTTTTATTATGAAAAATGTATTACAGATTGAATTAATAACTCAAAGAATATGTGATGGCGTCAATGCTACGATTCAATATATTAAAAGAATTTTATTTGTCGACGAATTTATCCCATCGCTAAAGGTCAGTCAAACATTTATGTAATCAAATTTTTGCAAATTAAATAATTGTGCGCTTAAATAATTTTGACTCAAGTCAAGTTTTTTTTAATGTGTAGGTGTACTGCATGGTAGAAGAACCCTTTGCCCTTTACCCTATTACCCACGTATTATCTGCGTGTCATGATTTTAGTCATTATCTGCGTGTCACGATTTTAGAATGCTGACATTTTAAAAATACTTGCCGCATTGTTCTTAAAATTTTAGGCAATTTTTTTTTCCTTTGTCCGTGAGAGGTTTTTGTAAGGCGGTTAAATATTGGTTTCAACCAATTTTGACTTGTGTGTGTGTGTTTTTTTTTTAAATGGAACAAAATTTGTTTGAAAATTTCTTAATATATAATTTATAATCTTTTTTGAATAATAATTTAAAGAATAATTAATAATAAAAATTTATTACCAAGTTAATGTGTTCTTACACGTAAAATGTATTTTACAAGGATTGGTTGGTACCATTACCAAAGTGATTTTGTTTTACCAAAGTGGTATTTATCTTTCATTGCCTAAGTGATAATGTTTATAAATATACCTTGTGTAAGTATGCTTTTTTTTTTGCGTTTGCGACACCAGATGAGTAAGACGTGTTTTTTTTTTTGCGTTTGCGACACCAGATGACGTCGATGCCCAGCCGGCACAATGACGTTGAAATAACGTTGAAACAACGTCGCAAACCGACCATATGCCACGTTGAAACAACGTTGAAATTTGGTTGAATTGGAAATAAAATCCGACGTCGAAAACTACGACGTTGAAACAACGTCGATGATTACGTCGTTTCAACGTTGATCTAACGTCTTATCGACTACATAACAACCATATTTCAACTTTGAATAGGTGATATATTCGATTGATACGTAGTTGATAAGACGTTAAAACAACGTTGAAACAACGTAAATTCAACGTTGATTTTTGTTTTTTATTTTGGTTAAATCCAAATAACTAAAAAATTTTCTCAACTTTAACTGCAATAAATTAACACAATAAAAAAGCAATAATTTGCGCAGAGGATATTATATTTCACGTAAATTAATCAGATACAACTAAATTGCTTCAACGGACTTTATATACAATGCAAATAAAATAAAATGTTTGAAAAAAAAAAGTTTTATTTATCGGTATTATATTTATCAATTTATCAATAATAACTATTATCAATAGTTCCAGAACAACTAGGAAAAAGTATGAATGTTATACATCAGGTTAATCGCCTTTTACGCGCCGACCACCACCATTTGATCTGTCGAGTGCGTATTTTAATAAACTCATTATTCCTTTTCTTATTTCGGCAACTGTAGCAGTCACTTTAATTGACAAAACTCTCTCTATAAAAAAAGTATTGCCTGAGTAATTTTCATCAAATACATAAAAAAGTTAAAAATAAAATATCATTAAAAAAGCGATCTGTGATTTTTAAAAATATATAATTTTACACTTAACTTACAAGTAAATACCTAATGTTTGTTCCTTTAAATTTCTCTTTACCTTTACCGTCAGCCATATTAAATTTTGATTATAAACCATTGGTCAACAACCTACATTATACATTGTTATTAATATCATAGTAACAAAAATTGATATACATGTCTTTTACAAAATACAAATTATTCTTAATGAAAAATAGCACAAAGGTTTCTTACCAAAGGTTTCTCACCCAACGCAAAAGGTTTCTTACCAAACCGTAATGCAAGTAAGAAAAAGAATTCATACAGGGGAAGAGTTTGGTCCAAGGAGACCACCTTCTAAACGCAAGAAAACACCAAGAGCGGACAGTATAATCAGAAATATCTGCCTGGAAAAGAGAAAAAAAGCCACTAAGCTTATCCATGAAGCTGTAATTGTTGTGTCAGACCAGACCATTTGTAGAATGCTAAAAGAAGAGGGATTGATGTCCAGCCAAAAATGTCAAAAATTGACAAAAAAATTTTAAAAAATGTCAAAAATCTTATATTTATGCAAGATGGTGCAACTTGCCACATAATAAAAACTGTTATGGCTTAGTTGATGTATTGCTATAGCCAGACAACTCGCATGATCTTAACCCCATAGAAAATATTTGGGAAATAGTAAAGCAAGAGATTGGAAAAAAAAAATCTTACTAATAAGCAAGATCTTATGGAAGAGATTATTAAGATCTAGCATAATAACCCAGAGTTGACAGAAACTATAAAAAATAAATTGCAAGCATGCCACAATGCAATGAAGCAGTTATTGCAAATAAAAGTGTTTTTGCAAAATATTTATACTTTATATATACAGTTGTGTGATAATTTATTATGGCCACCTATGAGTTTTGATCATTTTGAAATTTAATCTCATTTTTTTCATATGAAGAGTAAAAATTCATTATTGAAATTTAATCTTTTGTTTAAAATAAAGTTTTAATTTATAAAATCAATGCTTTTTTTTTGCTACTGGCAACACTGTCACTTTTGACAGCCATTTTGTATGATGTCATCTTAATTATAATCTTTTTGCTGTACACTTGTTAAGTTTTATTACCAGAGTTTTGAATTCTTTTATTAGGTTATCGTCATATTACTTATTTAAATCAGTAAAAAATTCTTGAATATTTCTTTTTATTTTAAATTAAAAATAGTTGTATTTAGTTTGATATTTTTAAAGTTATGAGTACCATAGCAAATTCTTAACTGTTATGTGATACTGATATGTGATATCTTATTTTAGTTATGAGGGAAAAAAAAAACTTGTCACAAAAAATTGCTGAAATCAGGGCACTTTTAATAAATACTGATCATTCTCAATGAAAAATAGCCAGAAAATATGGTATTTCACGGGTATCTGTACAAAATATACACAAAAAAATGCTAATATGGAGAACTTGATGCCAAAGAGGGTTGGTAAATGTGGAAAGAAGAGAATCCTAACACCATGCAGGAAATGAATACTTACCAAGATTGTTCTAGAAAATAGACGGGCCACCACCAACAAAATAACTAATAAGCTGGGCCAATCTGGAGTCAAAATGTTGAAGAGAACGGTCCAACATTGCCTACACAATCTTGGTTACATTTCACGACGTCCAGCTAAGAAGCCTAAACTGACACCAAAAATTGAACAAAAAATGCTTGAGTGGACAAAAAAGTATAGGAATTTAACATATGATTGGTAATTAATAAAATTAATTTAGATGAATTTAAAATATCCACTTTCTTACACCAAACTTTAAATATTCATTCAATATTCACTTAACAACCCTTGTATAATATTTTAAGGTATGCTTTAGCCGCGAGAGTACTTTTAAGTTTTAAAAAGAAAAAAAGGGAAAAAATACTTATTGGACTGCATCATGCAAACTGTTAAACACCCCACCTCTGTGATGATCTGATCAATGAAATGTGTAAAAGAAATAGGAAGGTTCTATATTGCAGAATGAAAAATGTTACAGTTACAATATAAAAATGCTGGAACAAAGATTGTTGTCACAATTGGCAGAATAATTTAGTCCAGGTGAAAAAAAAGCCTTTATGCAGGACAGGGCATGACCATGTCGCACAGCTAAATCAGTTAAAAAATATCTATCAGAACAAAATATTCCATTACTTGATTGGCCAGGAAACTCTTGTGACCTAAATCCTATAGAAAATGTTTGGGCGCTCCTAAAGAAGCAAATATCTGAAAAAATTATTACAAATAAAGTGTATTTAATAGAAAGAATTTTTCAACATTGGAACTATAATAAAGAATTGAAGGAAATAGCTCAAAAATGCATTAAAAGTATGCTAAAAAGGGTTCCTGCAATTATAGAGGCAAAGGAGGAATCACCAAATATTGATCTTGAATATATTTGCAGTAATATTTGAATAATAAAATTTATTTAATTTGAATAATAAAATTTATTTAATAATATTTTAATAATAAAATAATAAACAATATGTTAAATGTTTTTATTTGTCAAAAAAATACCCATTTCTTAAATAAAAGTTACTTTGAGTACATAAATCACAAAAAAATACTAAAATAATAGACTTTGAAACTTGATAATTTTGAAAAATTGTGGGTGGCCATAATAAATTGTCACACGACTGTATTTTATATAATTTATCATAATAATTAATAAATATTCAAAATGTTCATCTTTATTTATTTGTTTTTATCAAGTACAACTTTATAAATAAAAGAAAAAACTTTAAATTGCACTATTAATATTATATATATACATATATATATATATATATATATATATATATATATATATATATATATATATATATATATATATATATATATATATATATATATATATATATATATATATGTATATATATATACATATATATATATATATATATATATATATATATATATATATATATATATATATATATATATATATATATATATATATATATATATATATATATATAATATATTCATATAAGCACATGTATGTATATATACATACATATATATGTATGTTTATATACATACATGTATGTTTATATACACACATGTATGTATATATACATACATATATATGTATGTACATATATATGTATGTATATATAGAGTAAAAAAAAAGGTTAAGCATGCGTTACAAATCAACCTTTGTACTTTAAGGTTGTTCTTTAGCTCAAGGAAACACAAAAGTAAGAGAAAACAGTTACAAAAAAAATTATAATCAGACATAAAAAAAAAAGATTCATTTTATGTCTGATTAGAATTTGTCAAACTTTTAAAAATATATGCTACACAGATTTTTAACACAAGTTTAAAACAAACTATAAAAAAGATTCAAAAGATTTTTTATTTAAAACTACTTTTAACAAACCTTTGCATCACATGTATTTGTATTTGTCTTAATGGTTTTACCTCCAATTTTAGAAAGTTTGTTAACCTAAAGGTTTAAGAAAATAATTACACCACATTATTTTTATAGCACATTTATAAAAAGTTACAAGTAGATTAACTTAGGCTAAGTTTTTAATAAATACTTAATCAAAAAACAATAAAAAAAACTGCAAAAAGTCATGGTTTGAAACAACCTATCAGTTCTGACCTCACCCAAGAATCATTTAAACTGTTATCCATAAGAATTTCAGAACTATTTGTCATGATATTACTTTAATTACTGGAAAGAGTTTTTACTAACATCTCTTTCTAACAATAAAGATATATCCGAAAGACAAAAGAACCAAACATTAATTAATTTCTAAAAGTGTTGAAACACAAAAACAAAAAATTTATAAAATAAAACATTATTCATAAATTAAATAAAATGTATTAATTTAGCAACCAAAGAAATGTATAAATCACTGAAGCATAAAAAAAAATGTTCAGAATCTTTTCTTCCTAAATCAACTTGCAGACAGACAATTAATACCTTGAGCTACAGTATGTGGAGTATGCATAAAAAATGTTTTCTGTTTCTTTTTTTGTGTTACAGGAGTAGGTATTTGCTTACTATTCTGTTGGTTATTATGTTTTCTCTTGCATAAGCATGGTAGTGGCTCCTATAATAATTAATATCAAAATATAACTAATAATACTTGAATTAAGTATCTTTTGAAATAGTTACTGTTTTCTGAACCTGATTCTATCTGAGTATCACTTATAGAGGCAAATCAAATTTATTACATAACTTATGATCTAAGAATATTCATTCAAGTTAAAAATGTTTTAAAAACATTATATAATAAAAAATATATAATAAAGAATATATCTAAACACTGAAAACAACATATACAGAATGAAAGCATGTTAAAAAAACAAGGAAAAAAAGTAATGACTTAAGGTCTATATTAAAAAAAAATTACATTATCTCCATGACATTAAATTTTGAGCAGCTTAAATCTGTATTAGTTAGATGCGGTTTATGCATTTCATTGAAACAATTTATTACATTTAAAGATGACGAGCAGCGCAAAAAATTATCAATCGAATTTTCTCTCTTTATTTCTCTGTATTTTCTATCCAAACAGCTCGAATGAACATTTTGCATGCCCTACTATACTTTTTCAACTGGAAAAGTATAGTAGAAATTATAATAGAAAAAATACTTATATATAAAAAATTTGTTCATGTAAAATAGCTAACAGAAAAATACAACTATAAACTGTACGTTATGATACATTATACAGTTGCTAAAATTTGCTAAATTTTTATGTTGATTTTTCTACCAATATTATGGACTAAAGAAGCATTCACAAATTCTTTTTTATACAACTTTACAAGAAAAATCTTTAAAAATTTAATAAAAATTTTTTAATATAAAAAATATTTAAACTCTTTAAATCACATTGATTGGTAAAAAAGCTTGATAAATCATTATTTTGTAAAACATCATCCATTATATATATTTATATTATGTATGTATATATACATATATAGTGTATGTATATATTATATATGCATATTATATATATGTATATATATATATATATATATATATATATATATATATATATATATATATATATATATGTATGTATATATATATATATATATATATATATATATTATATATATATGTATATATATATATATATATATATATATATATATATTATATACATATATATAATATGCATATATAATATATATATATATATATATATATATATATATATATATATATATATATATATATATATATATATATATATATATATATATATATATATATATATATATATATATATATATATATATATATATATATATATATAGTATGCATATGTAATATAATAAACATATATAATATATATATATATATATATATAAATATATACATATATATATATATATATATATATATATATATATATATATATATATATATATATATATATATATATAATATATATATATAATATACATATATATATATATATTTATATAATATATCAAGTAGTCTCTACTTGTAATCCACACTCATGAAATAATAAAAAATTTTAAGTCACGCATGCGTATTTTAGTTATCATATTGCAATTACGAACGATCGAACTCGTAATATAGACGTTGAATTAACGTGGAATCAACGTCGATTTTATTTGATAGTTTTAAACAAATTTTTCAACGTTGATACAACGTTGATTTTTGGTTATACGACGTCGCGACTAAAAATCAACTGTAAATCAACGTCGAAATAACGTCGTGTGCCCACTGGGTGACGTGTTTTCTTGAGAATAACAAATTTACGATTTTACAATGGAAATAAATATTAAAAATATTGAAAAAAAATTATCGCAAGCAAACTAGGAAAAAAAAAATTATATTAGCAGAAACGGAGAGATTACTTAAAGGCAAGGTTTAAAAAAACGCAGTGGTGAGGCGGTGAGCTATACGCTTTTTGCAAAAATTTTTAAAACTTGACAATAGTCAAGGGTTTAAAAAAGCGTACGCCTCACCGCCTCATAGCTGCGTTTTTTTAAACCTTGCTAAAAGGTCGTGAAACTTCAATAATAAGGTCAGCTTGAACTTTCATGAAGAAAAACCAGGGATGATTCTTGCAAAAACAAAAAATAGTAAAGAAATATGTGAAAGAAAAATCTATTGACTTAGGGAACAGCTCCAGACAAAACAGCTCAAGTATCGATGGCATAAAAGAAACCCCTGAAAAAAATGGGAGCGATTTTGAATAGGCTGTAAAATATATTTTAAAAACAAAACAAAATATATTAAGTGCAGTAATTGTGGAACGAGCGCACCGCGTCGGTGCTGTTTAAGATAGTAAACACCAAGATCAAATGTGTTAAAGCTTTTAAACAATCAAGATAAAAATAAAATATTAGACTCAGTACATAAATAGAGGAGCCGCGATTTATATCAACAAAGTCTATGCAAAAGAAATGATGTTAAAAAGTAAGAAACTTTAGGAAGAAGTTAAACGATTACGCAACGAAGGTAAATTTGCAGTAATTTAATTTGATAAAATTTATTACAGAGATTTTAGAAAGTCAAAAACGCGCGAAGTTTTACTAATAATAGCTAACGTAACAATAGATTTTAAAAAACTTTAATGTTTTCGAATCGGCAAATTTAGTTAATGACTTTTCTGACGTTGATTTCCATTTTTTTAACGGAAATAATTTTTGTTTATCATCCTTAGAAATAACAACTTTTAAAAGCGAACTAAAATCCTTATAAAGTAATTTTAAGGTAAACACATTAACATAAGAAGTATAAATAGCAACATTGATAAGCTAAAACATTTTCTCATTGAATGCGATACTTTATTCAGTATGATACAGGGCCGACGACACGGAGGGCATATTCCTCTATATCTAGAAATTTCAAAATTGAATCGGTGAAAAGAAGAACATAACTCGTCCAATTTTTTAATTTCGAGATAATCAATATTTAAGTTTAAAACAGTTATAGTTTGGCAAAAATAAATGGCAACAATTAATGAAAGAAAGATTATTTTTGTAGTGCATAGAGAAATCGACATAAGTTAAATAAAATTATGAAAAAAAGTGCAAATAAAAAAAAATGGACTATTACTGTTCTTCCTCTCACCAATTCAATTATCTTGAATGATAATAAAATCTGAACTTGTATGAGTAATGTTGTTTTGGATAAAAATTATATATAAAAAAATTTTTAAACAATGAAAAACTGTTATATTTTCTCAACTTAATACAATAATTTTAACTACTAAATTCTTTTAATTACGTTAAACAAATTGTTACATAGTACTTGCAAGTTGTAAATTAATGCACTACATTTGATAATTGTTTTTATTTATTTACATTATTTTATTTTGTTTTCCGAGTAAGACTTTTTCTTTCAAATACTAGGCTTTGGTTGTGTTGTTTGGATGCCATTATGTAGGAAGAAAATTCAGCGGATTAACTTTAATATTCTTATGTAAGTTATATCTTCATTAATCTTCGAATAATCTTATGTGAGTTATATTCAAATTATAACTTAGAAAGTCTGAACAGGTTGATCTAATTTGACCATTTTTGTAACAATGAATGGTTAACGTCATTGTCGTGGTGTTTTCATTAAAAATTTCAAGCATTATTAAAACATTGTATTTATTTTAATAATTTATTTAAATTTTAGGTTATATTGGAGTATTTTTTTTACCAAAACTATTAAAACGATACGAAAAAGAACTGTGTGACAAAGCAACATCTTTCAGAATCTGTTATCAAAATCTATATACCAGGTACATTTACATATATATTCCATAACATCCACTTTAAAAATGTGTGATTAGGGTGATTCATTTTTTGTTGCTTTTTAAAATTAAACTTTTATCTCAATTAAAAAAAACTGACTACTTATATAAAAAAAAGATTTAAACCAAGTCTTTTTTTTAGTCCCGGCTCAATTTGGAACCAAAAATTATTGTATATAAAAAGTAATGATAAATAGAATATTGACAACATTAGGAAATTAAAGTCAACAGTAACAGCAGGACTTGGTAAATTAGCTATTTTCTTTAGCAAAGAACGTTATGCTGTAATAAAATTTTTAATTTATGTAAATAATTCTTTTTTATTTCTTCTACTGCGCACAGTAGAAGAAATAAAAAAGACCAAATCTTTTTTTTTTTTTATAATCCTTAAGAAAAAAAAAAAAAAAAGAGAAAACGGCGTACATAAAGCCCGACGGGCATTTCTTTTTAAAAGTTACGTTCTAAATGTGTTTTAAACGTCTTTTAAACGTCTTTTAAACATTAATGTTTAATAGACGTTTAAAAGACATTTAAAATACATTTTGATCGTAACTTTTTAAAACAAATGCCCGTCGGGAGTACTCATTTATTATTATTATTTTATTTTTGTTTTTTAGGTGCTCCAAGAAGACCTAATGGTCTTGTCACAGAGCGCCGCGAAACAGCATTTAATGAGGAAAATCATGCCTTCTTTATTATCAACG